ACAAGCCAAAAATGAAAACTAAAAAAATATAAAAAAACAAAAGGTAGCGCCAAGGTTCAAACCCAGGACATGGGTCTCACCAGCGCGCTACCTTGCCACTGGGGTGGCTATACATCCGTTGATTAATGTGAAACAAAAATAACATAACATGAAACGCTTCCATGGCCCTGTACTTCATCTTCTTCCTCTAGCCAGCCAGATGCTCTGTAACTTTCTCATTTCTCCATGAAAATGAAAACTTATAACATGAATGTTGTAGCATTTTATCTCACGATTTTAACCATATAAATCATGTAAGCTAACAATCAAAGATCAGAATGAATTTCAAAAGCCCCAAATTTAAACCTAATTTTTTCAGGAATTTCAAGTTCAAAATTCTCTCAACTCAGGGCAAATAAATGCAAGATATGTATATGTACAACTTTGTAACAATGAGGTCTACATTGTTTATTCACAAATCGTGGCCAATGGATGCCTGTATGAAGAGATAGAAGTTGAGATTTTTACCTCTTTCAGTTGAAATCATGGATGGAGTTGGAGTGAGTTTTATGAAGGCCTGATGATTGCTTGAGCTTGCTTGAACCTCCCTGAGTGTGTTCCAATCTTTGCCTTGCTTTGGAAGTGCCTGGAACTCTCTATCCAATTCAACCTGCAAGCTTTGAAAACAAAAATGGAAGATGATGGAGAAGGAGTTACAGTACAGGGATGAGGGTCTGGATCAGTTAGATATCAAGTAGTTAAGGTATTTTGATGGTTAAGACTTAAAACGCACGAGCCAAATGAGAGATTGCTATGCTTATGCAAAAACTACAAGTCTTGACAGTTTTTTGGTGAAAGGAAGTTTGGGAGTGTTTCAGGCTTCTAGTAATCATGCTTTCTGTTATATCTTGTTTGTATAGTAGTATGGAGAAGGTCTTAAGTCAGCTCTTCCACAGGTTTTTTGAGTTATATGCTTTTGGAATACTTTCTTGCTTTTGAAGCAAAGTGAAGGGACAAGGCCTTACCTGCTTGTAATGGCTTGTTTAGGGTTGGTGTGAGTTCTATACAAGTTGCCTCAGGTCTGTGGTACTTGTATGTGCAAAGGGGACAGGTTCAATGCTCAAGATTTGTAAAGTTTGCAAAAGTGGAGCTTTTCCAAAATGGCAATGGCCACTTTATGCCATTTATGGAATTACAACTTGGGTAATGGCTCTAAGGCTTGGATTAAAGCTTTTTAAACTGAGTAAGCATTAAATTAAGGAGTAAGAAATAAGTTTGGAACCTATAAAGCGTGGATTAGGAAGCATAGGTACTGATTGGAACTTTGTTCTTCATGAAATGGCTTGAATCAAAAGTGAGAAATTACCAACTTCATCTCTTCGATTCTCCCTACTCAAAAATGATCTTGAGGAGTTCTTGGACATTTTGGAAAGCTTGTAATGTGTTCTATAACTAATATTTGAAATGCATTTCAAGATACCTCTTGGACCTAGGTGAAATATTGCCATGAAGTTGGGTCCAAAACCTGCCTAAATTTGGGCAAAAATTCACTAAGTTATTTAGTTTATGAGCATGTATTCATAAATTTATATCTTGAGATCTAAGCATATTTAGGGAAAAGTGTGTGAATAAAAGTTGTAGATTTCATGGAGGTCTATAACTTTCATGTTGGGAACTTCCTTTGAATCATCTTGTATCATGGTGAAAAAATGGCCTAAATTTGAGAAAAAATAAGAAATTTTCTATACTTAGAAAAATTTCTAAGTTAAGAAAATTTTCAATTTTAAACCCTAATCTTCAATCCTTGCTTTCTTGATGAAGAAGTTTCACATTTTGACATGTTTTGATGAATTGTGACCCTTGGCACTTGATTTTGACCAAAAAGTCAAAGTTTGACTTTTCAGTATACAGTTGGCTTTTGATCAGTTGACTGCAAATTTCATCTGTCTATCAATGAAATTGAAATGTTTTGAGCCATGTCAATAGGTCATGATGATGTAATTAAACCCTTGAAATCATGTATTCAAATCAATTGGTCATTTGCTAGGTCAAAAAATCAGAAATTTCCCTTCCTCAGTCAAAACCCTAATTTTGACCATTTTGCCCTTTTGATGATTTGATCAAATTTCTTGAGGAATTATGGTCCAAACTTGATTAAATGATACATATGAGTCTAGAATGTTGATGTGGATCAAAAATTATGGAGTTTGACTGTAAATTGGCCATGGTTGACTTTTTCCCCTGTACAGTTGATTTTTAGGTCAACTGTCCAATTGACTGATTAAAAATGTAGTTCAAGGCTTGAAACTTGTCATGAGTAATCTTAGGGGTCCATAATGATGTTTGAAAGTCACATGAAGCATTGATAGTCCAAAAATCCTTGTGCAATTTCAAACCCTAATTCTGGGTCATCAGTGCATGATGAGATGTCTTGAGCTGACCAGACCCTAATCCAGTCTTGAGTCAAAGAAAATCTTGTGAGAAAAGTCTTGATAATTAAGAGGGAAAATTTTGGGGTACAACACTTATCATAATCTTCTTATTCTTCAATCTGGAGCTCTGACATATCTCTAATGGCCTCCACAAATATGATTTCCTTCATTCTTTTGAAATGAAGATGTCCAAGTTTTTGGTGCCATAGCTTTACTTCTTCTTCATTAATTGTTGACCACGTGGAAGAATAAGCAATTATTTGAGATTCCCATAAATAGAAGTTGTCTTTGGACCTTACCCCTTTCATTAGAACAACTTATTTCTCATCTTTGACTAGACATTCTCATTTAGAGAAGTTCACTAACAAACCTTGGTCACACAATTGACTAATGCTAATAAGATTAGAAGTTAATCCTTTCACATATAACACATCTTCTATCCTGGGAAAGTCGTCACACACCAACTTACCAACTCCTTTAAATTCTCCTTTAAAACCATTACAAAATCTAACAAAACCCAAAGGATGAGGCTTGAAATTCACCAACATCTTCTGGAACCCTATCATATGTCTAGAGTGTCCACTGTTAAAGTAGCACTCTTCACTAGTTGAGTATGTTAAGGGGGTATGAGCTATAAGGTTAATATCTCTATTTTTAACACTTCTCTTTTTGCCCACTTTATTAGCCTTGGAACAAACTGAATATTTTTTAGCTCCATAAAATTTGAAATAGAAAGGCTTTATATGACTTGACTCACCATAGTAGTGACATCTCCAAGTAGATTGAGGTTGATTTGAATATTCATCATAGTTTCCAGGATGTTGTAACATGTGTTTGAACATGTTGATCTTTTTCTTCCTTTCAAAAGGAAGGGACTTTTCTTCTGACCTTCTTTTCAGTTTATTATCAGATTGATAATGAAATTTGGCATCTTCATCCTCTTTAACCATATTTATGGAATCTGTCAAGTTATCAAGCTTGGAATTTAAGTGTGTTACCTTATGTAATATGGTGGTAGAACTGACTTGGTGTTTTGAGTTTTATCGCAAATGTTGCGGATAGCAAGAGTCGCCACCAACTTTTCTTTTATCCAATAAAGGAATGGGTGAAAATAACAGGAAATACCTTTTGACAATTTTCTTGAGTTCGGGGGGTAGGTTATGAAAAGGGAAGGTGTTAGCACCCTTTTCATCCGCAGTTATCTATGGGCTCTTAATTGCTAGCTCACTTTGAAATGCTTTGTGTTTTGTGTAAGTTGAAAGATGTTTTGAAAGTGGTGATTTTGTAATGATTCTCGTATCGTTGAGAATGTATACAAAATGTTTGTTTGGAAATATTTTGAAAACGCCTTGGTACGGAAAACTTTGTAATGATTCTCGTATCGTTGAGAATGTATACAAAGTGCTTGTTTTTAAAATATTTGTTTGAATAGATGTTTGTTTTTGAAAGTGTTTTTAAAGCGTGAGGTGTAAAGAGTGTTTTGGTTTATGAGCGAGAAATTATGAGCAATTTACTGACTCAAAAAGTCTTTGTTATTTTCCTCCTCCCTTAGATAGTGCTATCCTACCATTGATTGGTAGGAAGTCATATCATTAGATGTGAGGGAAAGGCGTGGGTCGTCATACAGTCATAGAAGGCAACTTGTGGGACGCTTTAGCAATTGTCGTAAGAGACTAAGATCGTTTATCGAAGGCAACATCGAAGGGTCATCGAGGGTCTTTGCTAAAGTGTCCCATATTCGAGGGACATGACTGTTTTTCCGAGGCAACAAGCGAGGTTACCCTAGAGGTGCGTGTGTGCATAGTATTTGATTTCAATTAATTTGTCTGGATTAGGGTTATCTAGCGGTTGATTTTAAATCTTGTCATACACGCCTAATTACTATATAGTATAAGAAAATGCGGTAAAGTGCGGAAAATAAAGTTATACGCTATAACAACGCTTCGGGAGTGAGGGTACAAATTTATGAATGAGGATGAAGTAAAGAAAAAGCCTAGTTAAACTATTACAAACCGTAAACAGTTACAATAATCGAAAGAATGCGAAAAATAGTAAACTAAGAGCAAATGAAAAGAGAAATAAAAATTGTTTTTTGATGTGTTTTTATAGAAAAGAAAGTAAAAATATATATAATAGAAATGTAACTAAAACAAAAGTTATCTCAATTAAATTAAGATTCTAAGATTATCAAAATAAAAATTCTAAAATTATCAAAATTAAAACAAAACAAAATTAAAATTTTAAAGTTGTCAAAATGTTTCTAAAATTATTCTAAACTAAAATACTATTCTAAACCCACTAAATTAATTCTAATTTTAAGCTAAATAATAAAATTATCTAATTAAAAACTACATATTTATCTCTAATAAACTAATTAACCTAAACTAAATATATATAAAAAACTAATAAACTAAACTAAATAGTATTGTGGTGGGATTTGAATTTCAGAATTGGGCTTGGCATAGGGAAAGAAAGCTGGCCCAAATGAGTTAAAACAAAAACGTTAGCAGGGCCGGACCGGGCTGACTCGGATCCGGACCCAACTCCCAATAAGTAAAATAAACAGACGGGTTGGAAACCCTAGCAAAATCAAACCAGCACCTCAAATGTTCCTTTGTTCCAAAACTCCTCTTCTTCTTCCAATGGTTCCTCCACCTCAACGGAAGAAAAATTCTCAACGTCGGGTTTGGATGGGCTTTTAGTAGGTATAGATGGAAGATTAGTTGTAGAATTTCCTTTGGATCTTCGCAAATACACTACCTGCATATGATATGTGTCGTCCGCATTTTTTACCATATAAATTTCAAATAACGTTGTTCCGGTAGATGATGTGAGCAATTGTCTTGTATTGTAAATCTTGCTGATAAACCTTTCCATACCAGGACTCATACGTATTAGTATACCAAATGGGTCCTCTGAATTTTGGAGTATCCTGCCCACATACCCAACAGTCCACTTCCAGTATATCTGTATAATCTCATAGCATCATAGTAACGCTCATCATCTATAACATTCTTCAACTGTGACATAATTTCTGCAACACTGTCCTTGGATGTTGCTTCTTCTATAGCCCTCTTTAACTTGGCTGCTTCTTGAAACTCTTCTTTCTCAACCGCATCTTCAAGTTGGAACTTGAGAAGAGAGGCGAAGCTTTCAACCTGTTCAATATTAGAGAAATGGCGACACCATCGATTCCAATCCCAGTTAAGGGAAGTGTCGTTGGTGGAATTGGGGGTGCAATGGAAGAGTTGAGAGGTGCGATTCTTTCTGGGGAAAATTTAAATTGAGGAGTTAGTTTGAAGAGGAAAGGATGGTGGTTTGTATGGGTAGAGATTGAAATTAGAAGGGGTATTGGTTGGAGTGTTGTTGGAGAAAAAGATGGCTTGGGAAACACCCAACGAAGCCATCACCGTGATTGGGGTTTGGAGAAGATGAAGTTGGAGTTTGAATATTGACACAAGGTTGTTGTGGTGTGTGTTGAGTAGTTGAGTTGGGATAAGTTTGTGGAAATAATGGGTTAGATGGCAGAAACAGCGATGCTGATGAGTGGCTGAAGGTGATGGAAATCACAGAGAACGGAGGGGGTTACATGATGATAGCAAGGTTGAGGGAGAACAGAAAATAAGTGATTACAGTGATGAAGATGGTTATGAATAAGAGAAGTGAGAATGGAAGAGAGGTTTGAGGATACAAGGATAGAGGTTATGGAGTTTTCTGTATGGTTTTCGTTTTTCTTATTTGGAAGGGGTTCAGTTGAGTGAAAAGTTGAGAAGAGAAGAGTTTTTTATGGTGTCTCCTTTGTGTATCAAAATTGTGTACTATTTTTTTCTTGTGTTTTTTATTACAGCAAATTAGAACATAACAGAGATTTCAACCAATCATACGGTATGAAAATGAGATATAGTGCAGGCAAATCAAAACAGATAAACGATCTTAGTCTCTTACGACAATTGCTAAAATGTCCCACAAGTTGCCTTCTATGACTGTATGACGACCCACGCCTTTCCCTCACATCTAATGATATGACTTCCTACCAATCAATGGTAGGATAGCACTATCTAAGGGAGGAGGAAAATAACAAAGACTTTTTGAGTCAGTAAATTGCTCATAATTGCTCGCTCATAAAGCAAAACACTCTTTACACCTCACGCTTTAAAAACACTTTCAAAAACAAACATCTATTCAAACAAATATTTGCAAAACAAGCACTTTGTATACATTCTCAACGATACGAGAATCATTACAAAGTTTTCCGTACCAAGGCGTTTTCAAAATATTTCCAAACAAACATTTTGTATACATTCTCAACGATACGAGAATCATTACAAAATCACCACTTTCAAAACATCTTTCAACTTACACAAAACACAAAGCATTTCAAAGTGAGCTAGCAATTAAGAGCCCATAGATAACTGCGGATGAAAATGGTGCTAATACCTCCCCTTTTCATAATCTACCCCCCGAACTCAAGAAAAAATCTCTAAAGGTCTTTCCTGTGCTTTTTCACCTTTCCTTATTGGATAAAAGAAAAGTCGGTGGCGACTCTTGCTATCCGCAACATTTGTGAATACAAACGCAAAAACAAAAAGTTAGTTCTCCCACCGTATCAAAATACGTAAGAGTTTCTTCATCTCATTATCCAAGTTAATAACCATCTTCCTTTGTTCTTCCTCTTTCTTGAGGCTTTCAACACACCTGTCATAAGTCTCCTTGTAGAACACATCCAGTTCTTCATAGTGATCATTCTAATTACAAGCTTCAACTTCATCTTCCCATCTTCCAGATAGAGCCATCATAAGTTTTTCCTTCTTAGAATTATCTTAATCTTCTGACTTGTCATCATCAGACCAAGATGCAGTGAAACCCTTCTGCCGTTTCTTAAGGAAGTTGGGACATTCAGGTCTAATATGACCATATCCTTCGCATTCAAAAGACTGAATACCTCTGCTTTAATTTGACTTCTCTTCTGTTCTTGATTTCTTCTAAGAATCAAGATTATTACTGATGTCATATGAGATGTTCTTGACATCTGGTCTTCCTCTTTCATCCAATCTTTTCAATACTCTACTGAATTGCTTCCCAAGTAGCACAATGGTATTAGACAAATCATCATCAGTGTCCAGCTCAGCTTTACCTTTATCATCTTCAGAAATAGATACAAAATCTATGCTTTTGTTCTTTTTCTCAGTCTTGTCACCAATAGCCAATTCAAGTGTTTGAAATGACCCAATAAGCTCATCAACCCTCATGTTGTTGATATCCCAAGCTTCTTCAATAACTATAACCTTCATATCAAATCTCCTAGGTAAGGACCTAAGAATCTTTATGACCATCTTTGCTTATGATATCTTCTCTCTCAAGGCACTTCATGCACTTGCAATTTCAAGAATCTTCATTTGATATTCATGAATTGTCTCATCATCATTCATCTTCAAGTTCTTGAATTTGGAAGTGTGAAGCTGAAGTATTAAAATCTTCACTTTAGAGGTAACTTCATAAGTTGTCTTGAGAATCTCCAAAGTATCCTTGGATACAAAACAAGTATTGATTAGCCTGAAAACATTTTTGTCTACTCCATTGAATAGAGCATTTAAAGCCTTGGAATTTCCAACGACTTCTTTATCACCATTCTCATCTCAATCTTCTTCAGGTTTTATAGATTTTTCCCATCTTTGTCCTTCATAACTGGATGCTTCCATCCTTTTGAAACAGCCTTCCAAGCTTTGCTATCCAAAAATTTCAGAAAAGCTACCATTCTGACCTTCCACCAATCATAGTTTGAACCATCCAACATATGTGGTATGTTGTTATAACATCCTTCTTTCTCCATAGTGCCCGAAAGTATATCCCTGAATCTCACCCAATAAACATATCAGGGTGTCTGCTCTGATATCAATTGAAATTATAGCACACACAATATTGGAAGTTAAGACTGGTGTCTCAATAATGCACAATATCACGACAGATGTTATAACATATGCTGAAAGAAAAATAGACTTGCTAAAAACAAAAAGATTGTGCCAAAAAGTAAATTGCAGAAACTTAAACAATACAGTCAATTGTTAGCCCAGTTTGGTGCAACTCACCTACTATGGGGGCTGCCAAGCCAGGAAAAAAATCCATTATCAGTAGTATCAACTCGAAGCTAAAAAATCTCAATTTACACTTCCAACTTAATCCCTACCCAATGCAATTCCTACTTAGGAACCCTTTATATGAGAACCCCTCTCACTCCCAATCACCGCAGTGATATCAAATAACAATCCCAATCCAAGGGAAAGTCTCAAGAAACCAAAAATGAAGAACACTCTTCCAAAACAAAAACACTTAGTTTGCTTAAAAGCTCCACTAATAACAATACTCAACTCTTTGCTTAAAATCTTAGAGGAGAACAATAACTTGATAAACAAGTAACAATTAGTCAACTTAAATGCATTAAAAGATACACGAGGATGTACAAAAACACACAGAGAAACTAAGGAACTCTCAAACCCTAAACCCTTATTTTTCACAAGGTTTTACAATAAAAACTATGCTTAAAACTAGGTCTTGGACGTCTCTTTATATAGACTTCTACAACTGGTCTTGGACTCTTCAATCAAATCAAATCTTCAGCTCTAAATCTCTCTAGAATCTTCTCCATAAAAATAGAAACAAAAAACAAATGTTTCAAATATTTTCTAAAAAGTCTCAAAGATCCTTTTTATGAAACAAATTAAATATGAAATTGTTCCTAAAATTCCTTGATTGCATGCGCCTGTTATGAGTACTAGAATCCTCCAAAATCTCATATTCTTCAATAAAATCTTCTAGTAAATAATCCAACTGTACTGTCATGATATTCTGTTGTAACATGTTACAATATCTGATAGGACATCTGTCAAATAAGTACCAGCAGACTCTTTTGTACCAGCTGGTCAATATGTTATGACATCTTGTTTAACATTAGGCTTCAATACATGTTTTCCCAAAGAAACATGTTTTGATAAATTTTTTGCCAACTACTTGTTTTACCAAAATGATTGTCAACCATAAAATCACAGACCTACCAGATTTGGTCATGTTTTCAAGATTAGATGTCAGAAGAGATACTTCACTATGAATATAATACACTTTGGTAAGAAGTTCATTCTTCTTAACCTGTAGTTAAGCTATTGTTAGCTTCTGCTTTTCTTCATTCGCGTGCACTTATTACTTCTGATACATAGCTCTTTGTAAGAAGCAGTCAATTCTTCATAAAATACCCTCTCATTACATCTTCCTGAAAAGGCCTTCTCATGTTGGGTAGTTTCATTATCTTTTCCCTTTTCGGAATCCTCCTCATACTAGGAAACAGACACCCCCTTGAGGTATGTTGGACACTCTGCACTAATGTGCCCAAATCCTTCACATTCATGGAAATGAACACTTTTGCTTTGATTGGGTTTTTCTTCAGCATTGGTTTTTATTTGAACCTCACAGTTATTGTTGATGTCAGATGATATGTTCTTGACATTAGGCCTTACCCTTCTATCCATCTTCTTAAGTACTTGATTGAATTGTCTTCCAAGTAAAACAATGGCATTTGACATTCCTTTCTCAGTATCCAAATCCCGCTGACTTTCTTCATTTTCAGTATTGGATAATGTTGTACCCCAAAATTTTCCCTCTCATTTTATCAAGATTTCCATCACAAGACTTCTTGGACTCAAGACCAGATTAGGGTTTGCTCAGCTCAAGACATCTCCTTGCACTGGTGACCTGAAATTAGGGTTTGAGTTTTCACAGGGATTTTTGGACTTCCAATGCCTCATGTGAATTTCATACTTCATGTTGGACTCCTAAGATTTCCCATACCAAGTTTCAAGCTTTGAATCACATTTTTGCCCAGTCAATTGGACAGTTGACCTAAAAATCAGCTATATTAGGGAAAAAGTTAACTGTGGCCAATTTACAGTCAAACTTCATAATTTTTGATCCATATCAACATTATAGACTCATATGAACCATTTGATCAAGTTTGGACCAAAACTCCTCAAGAAATTTGATCAGATCATCAAAAGGGCAAAATGGTCATTTTTAGGGTTTTGATTGTAGAATGGCAATTTCTGATTTTTTACCTAGCCAATGGCAAATTGGGTTCAAGAATGGTTTCAAGGACTCAATGGCACCATATTGACCTAATCACAAGGTTCAAAAGATCTCAAATGCATTGAATTGACAGATGAATTTTCCAATCAACTGATCAAAAATCAATTGTACACTGAAAATTCAAACTTTGACTTTTTGGTCAAAATCAAGTGCCAAGGGTCATATTTCATCAAGATGTGTCAAAACATGAAACTTGTTCACCAAGAAACCTAATTTTGAAAATTAGGGTTTAAGTGAAATTTTTCATAACTTAGAAATTTTCTAAGTTATGAAAATTTCTTATTTTTCCCCAACTTTTTCACCATGATGCAATTGGATTCAAAGAAAACTTCCAACATGAAAGTTGTAGTCCTCCATGAAATCTACAACTTTTATTCACAAAGTTTTCCCAAAGTATGCATGGATCTAAAGTTATGGTTTTGTGAATAGGGGTCCAAAAACTTTTTAACTTAGTGAAATTTTGCCCTAGTTTAGGCAGATTTTTGACCTAACTTCATGGCAACTTTTCACCTAGTTATAAGAGGTATCTCAAAATGAATTTCAAATATGGATTGTAGAGCATGTTACAAGCTTTCCAAAATGTCAAAGAACTCTCCAAGATCATTTATGGTTAGGTAGAATCGAAGAAAAGAAAATGGCCATTTCTCACTTTTGTCCATGGCATTTTTCACATTGATACAAGTTGCAAATCAGTTTGAATCATGCTTGTACTTGGTTTACAGGTTCTAATCCTTTCTACACTCATAAATTAAATGCAAATACAATGGTTAATGGCATTGTTTTGATCTTTGAAGCTTTGTACAAAGGTTTAATCCAAAAATGGCATAAAGGTAACAATGCTACTTTGATAAAGCATGCTTTTTGCAATTTTGTATTCCTTGAGCATTGAACCTAATCTTTGGTTGTAAACAAGATCCATGAACATCAGGAAAAGTGTACCAACCCTCTACATCCCACGAGCTAGCAAGTATAGCCTTTGCCTTTGTCAGTTCAACTTTTGCTTCAAAAGCAAGTAAGCTTGCAAAAAGTCCATATCTCAACTATCTGATAAAACCAAGTCTTGCTATCATTTGAAACAAGTTCAGCATATTGTAACAAGCCAATACACGAGCTCATAGCATTGCAAACACCCTAAAACACCAAAATCACCATTTCTGCCCAAAACAGGGCAACCTCTGCAGATCACTAGCCAAAACAAATTTCACTCGTGCGTTTTTTTTTGTATCAAGGCTTCAAACACATTCCATACATCACACCTAAGCTGTCCAGGCCTTTCTCAAGCAACTGTAACCCCTGTTTCGAGCTTCACCATTTCCATTTTCTGAGTTTGTAGGTTGACTTCTACAGGGATATTCAGGCAACTTCAAAGCAAGCTGAGTATTGGGAAAGGTTGAGGGAACTTCAAGCAAGCTCAAAAGCACTTCAGGCCTCACTCAAAGTTGCTACATTTCCATAACCAAACTCAACTGAAAAAGGTAATTTTAAAAGTTCTATCTCCTTATTTAGGCATCATTAGGCTTAGGTTTGTGAAGCAAAAATGTAGTCCTTAAGTTCCTTGAGCTGTACATATGCGTAGATTTCATTTATATTAACTGAGCTAGGAGTATTTGATAGTTGAAGTTGCTGAAAAAACTAGGT